GGGACGCTGGCGGCTTCTTGAGCCGCCGGGTACTTACAGTAGACGAAGGCGAGGGCCCTCAGAAGCACGATTCTGGTCAGCCAGAAGGTGCCTGTGCGCAGGCGGGTGGAGCAGCCAGCGTCATCGCGTCCTGGTGCGGGCGGCGACCCAGGCCCTGGACCCGAGCCCCCGGCCTTCCGCCTCCTCAGTGACCCCTCGGGCGCAGCCATTGCTGCCATCTCAGCGCCTGCGCGGGGAGGACGGATCGCAGAGACCACGCCCTGACCACGCCCACTGTCTGGTGGGTCTTGCCCACGCGCGGACAGGCACCCCCCTTCCGCAAGCTTCGGGGGCGTTGCGGCTGGGAGGGCCCAGGGGCCGCTCAGGATTCCTTCACTCCTTGGTTCGTTCCGCCAACCGGTGTTGCTAAAGTCCCGGGCGCCGGCCTTCTAGGGAAGGAGCGCGATGGAGGCTAATGGAAAGTGCGTCCTGCGCTCCCTGCGGTGTGGATCCGGTGCTTGCACAGGGGAGGCCGGGCCGCGAGGATCGCGGGGTGCAGACGCCTCCTTTCTGCTTTCCGCAGAGGAAGCTGGGCAGCCGACGCAGTTGGTGGGGTACAGAGTGGGCAGGGCCGACTCCAGCTTCCTAGCCCACCCGAAATTCCACGGGGGTGTCTGCACAGCCATCTAAGCCCCTACTAGATAGGTAACGTTCCTACAGGCTTTGAGCAAAGAGGGGCCATCGAGGACTCAGAGGAGGGAAGAACTTACTACAGACCAGAGCAGGACCCCACGAAAGCCAGCAGCTCTGCTTCTGATAGTAGAAGCCATTCAGTCGCTGTTCGGGGGGTGTTGCTCTGAGACTGTGGATCGGTGAATCAGGCATTCCTGAGACTTCCCAGAGGGAAACTGCGCGCAGGACTGTGGGCACAACCCTAGGTGAACTGCAGGGCTCTTGGGAAGCAATCAGAGAGGTGTGGGGTTTTCCCTCTTCATTCGTTAGCACTCTTTACATACTAAAGGTCCTATTTCTTTGTGTATATTTCAAATGTTTTTCTTGGTTCTATTTGGTATTACATCTTCTTGTCTTTAGTTTCTGAATTTTGTTCTCAGTGTTTTGACATATAAATTATCAATGCTTGCATGGTCAAATGATCCGGATTTAGTGTCTGTCTGTACCCTCGCCCACCTGCAGTGCAAGCATCATGAGAGGTTGTCTGTGGACAGTTGCCCCTCTCCAAGTTAAGCCAGATGGGTAACTGCTGGGACTCCTCTCCAATCCCAACCCCAGCCTTCCCCTGTTGCTGGGGTAACAGCACTGATGTACATCTTATATAAGTTTTTCAAAGCTTGCCATTATTTTTTCTGAGAGACCCTCCCTCAGGACCCCAGCTGTGAAGTGTGACCTATAACAGATGTTGCAGTGGGTGGCACGGACACCTGCCACATCCTGTTGTGCCTCCAGCAGGGCAGCAACATGTGCCCAAGGTCTCCAAGTTTGGGAACTGGAGGAACAGTTCTTCCATGGGAGCCCTTGCCCTGCACCTTTCCTCCTTGCTGTCTGGATGCCAGGCATGGGATGGACAGCACTGCTGTTTGGGAAGGACAGCCAAGCCTGCAGAGCTTCTCCGGGTCCCAGTCTGGAGGCCAGAGCTGCACTGGACGGAAGGCAAGGCAGGGCAGCTCTGCCATCAGGTGTGACCCTGGGTGCTGCCTTTCAGGTGGGGACAGTCCTCACAAAAGGCTCTTTTGTCCTCAGCTTCCCCTTGCTGGGGCTGCATTGTCCTCCCTTCAGAAGGGCACAATGGGGCATTGTGCAGAGCAGAAAAGGGCCCCTTGTTCTGGCATCCAGCTCTCGGGCTCGGCTGGCTCCATGCTCCCTCTCTGGATTTGCCCAGGGTGGGTGAGGCCAGCGGAAGGGTCTGCTGGGAGCTTGCGTCCTCTGCAGATTGAGTTTCCTGCTGGGTCTGCCTTCCCAGGAGACTGTCTGGAACTGGCTCAAGCACAGGTCACTCAGGGCAGAGCTCCCCCAAGGAGTGGCCGGCTGATGACTGAGATCTCACCCATTTCAACCTGAATTTAATTGAAACTGCACTATGGTACTTTTTGCCCATAAAGGAGAACAACATTCTGACGTGTGCTACCACATGGGTGAAACTTGAAAACATTAAGCTAAGTGAGAAGAGAGACACAAGCTGTGTGATTCCTCTTGCAGGAATTCTCCAGAATGGGAAACTCCAAGGGAAAAGAAGGTAGCCCGGAGGTCGTCTGGGCTGGGAGGGGGAAGGGGTGTGAGTCTTGGTGGGTGTGGGTTCCCAGATAGAGGCTGGATGTGCAGCATTGTGAATGTATGAAGAGCCATTTACAGTGGTCATTTCATGCTGTGTAAATTTCACCTCAATTTTAAAAGTAAAAGAGCAAGGCATAGTGACTATCCCAGTGACAGGAGGCTGAAGCAAGAAAATCACAAGTTCAAGGCCACCTTCAGGGACTTAGCAAGACCCTGTCTCAAATAAAAAGGATGTGGATATAGCTTATTGGCAGAGCACTCCTGAGTTCAAGCCCCAGTACTACAAAGTAAACACATAAAAAATTTAAAAATAAAACAACAAAGAATGTCCTCAAAGTAGTTTCACAATCACCTGGAAGGCTTTGCTTTTGCTGGTGGGGGAAAGTCTACAAAACTCAACCTATTTCTCTGTTAAGGAGCATCTAGTTTAAGGTACAGCTGTCTTAGGCCTAAGAAGTTGCCCCACATCAAAAACAAAACCTCTGTAGATCCAGACTCAGCTGCATGGCTGAGGCTGGCTCTGGCACAGAGAGGGGGCTGCAGGCCAGGTGGAATCCCCTGGGGTGCTGTCCTGCACCCTGCAGGCCACCTGCAGGCCAAGCTCTGCCTTGAGGCAGGGGAGGGTCCTGAGCTTTACTGTCAAGCAAGAACTAGGAGGAAATGTAAAGCTGAGAGGAGAGGCCAGGGGGAGCTGAGATACTGGGGCTGCCCCAGGACCGTGGGAGGAGAAGAGCTGAGAAAGGGGAATCGGGAGGGAAGGGCCCCAGAGGAGCTGCCAGAACCTGACTGAGCTGGTTGGCATCAGGGGACCACAGCCCGCCTGACCCAGGTGGACCCTGCGCCCCAGCCACCCACAGCCTCCTCCAGGGCAGCCCCCGGGACGAGGCACACAGCCCAAGGCTGGCCACACTCCCAGCAGCTGCGCAGCGGCTTCACAGAGGAATGAGCCCTCTGTCAGCACCTCGTCCAGCTGTCCCCGGGCACCCCAGCCTGGCAGCCCCCACCGCATCAGGGCCATTGTCCCTGACATGTGGTTGCAGCTGTCTCTGGCACCCACAAGAACCCAGCTTGGGCCCAAATCTAATCGTGCACCCCTCATTTACCCCAATTTTTCACGTCTTGAAGTCTGTTTGCGGAAAGGGAGCAGGACCCGTTGATGCTAACATCTGTTGTCTTCTCTAGGAGGGATGGTCAGTTTGGGCTGATCCCACCCTGACTGTCCAGCGGCCAAACCCCCGTGGGAGGCTGGCAGGTGCGGGTGGGGGCAAGCAAGCAGGTGCTGTGCCATTTGCTGACCGTGACTCCCGCGGCTGTTCTGCTTGGCTCGGAGGTCTCCTCTTGCGCGTCCCTGCTCCCCCTGCACCCTGGGAGATGTGGCCCTGAGTGCCCTGCAAGCTGGTGAGCCACAGCTCTCGGCAGCTTGGAAAGCTAAGCTTCTCCATGCAGCTGCGTCCCAGCAACATAGCCCTGTGCCAAATGCCCTAGTCCTTTTCTTCTACTTGGAATTATATTCTGGATTGGAAGAAATCTTGGAAACTGCCTAGCCTGTGGGCTGGACTGGTCACTCCGCTGGTCATCAGTTACCCCAATAGTGCTGCCTAACAAATAGCCTTTTAAACCACCAAGCATGTGTTGTGGGCAGGGCCACCCAATGTCGGGCACTGTGGTCCTTGGCTCAGAGGCACAGCCAGTTTTCTGTGCTTGTGACCCTACCAGGACCTTCAGAAGCAAAGGTTCACCCAACACTGGATTCTGCACCCCAGCACCCCCAGCCTGGCATAGCCTGGGAGCCATGTCATCCACAGACTCACTGCAGTACTTGACTAAAACCTCCTTCCCTCACTGTTTTCAGGAAGGAAGTGCTTGGGAGACAGAGAGCTTTTCATGGGTATGTTTAATTTGCCTTTGGCACTGATGGGTGTCTGGAACCTTCCATCTCAGCAGAGGAGGCCAGGACCAGAGCCAAATAGAACCCCTCTGACCAAGAAGAGATTTCTTTGTGATAGCTCTACTTCAAGTTACCCTTTGCCTTTGTAGTTGTACTTAAAACCAGCTCCACTTCAGGGGTCACAAACATGGACATGATGGGCAAGAAGCCTCCTTAGGTTGGGAAGCTGGGCTTGGAAAGGTGGACATAGATTTCAGCCTCCTGTGGGCCCAGAAGGCTGCTTTTCTAAAGAGTCCCCATCAGTGTCCTGGCTCTCCTCTTGCACGTAGATGAGACGGCCGCTCTCAGGCCCATGTATCACTTCCCAGTGGAGCTCAGTGCCCAGGGGAGGGTGGCATGGAGCTGGTGAGGGTGAAGGGCAGAGTTCCAGTGGGCAAGGCCAGGTGGGCAGGCAACCAGAGTTCAGGGTAGCCAGGCACTGCAATGGAACAAGGCTGTGGGGGAACAAGCATGGAAGGGGTTTGGGTAGGAATACCAGGAACAGGGCTGGGGCTGGAGGCCCAGGTATCTTGTATCAGACCAGACCCTTCTGGTGCAAGGTGCAAACCCACTCCACCCCACATGATCAGGGATGGGCCTAGGAAGTGCAGCAACAGACTCTACTGCTTCTGGGGAAGGTGCTGCTGGCAGCTGGCTATAGTGCCAGGAGCGGGCAGGCTGCAGGGGGACCAGCTCCAGGCACAGGAGCCCAGGGAATGCTGCCCCTGCAGGGCCAAGAAGCAGGGATGTGGGCAGCTCTCTGTCACCCTCAGAGTGCATGGAAGGATGGTGTGTGCCAGCTCTCAAGCTGGCAGAAGACGTCAGCTCCACTGAGGGATCCACTGTGGCCCCAACCAGAACTTTTGCTCCAACCAGCGTTCTCAGCATCCCTGAGACCACTAAATTAAGGGAAAGGGGACCAGCAAACAGCTTGGCCCAGAGCCCTGAACATCTGTTATAGGGAGGTAGGACTCCTGGGGGGCACCAAGCAGGGCCCTCTGCTGCCTCTCTGCGACCCAGCAGTGCAGGCTGAGCTGCCTTTAGGAACTGTAGCTCTGAGCAGTTCACCCCTCTCTGTTGCCTTGTTTCATTTCTGCCAGACCAGCAAGCAATTAAAAGCACCAATTAATCTCCAGTGCTGTGCTGGGACACCGTGTTGGCTGCTTCACAGGACACTTTGGACGAAGGGGTCAAGGGAGGCCCAGGTCAGGGCTGTGAACAGAGGACATGCCATCCTGGGGTTCACAGGCCCACTCCACCCTCCCTCAATGCTTTTCTTTTAAAGACAGCACAAGGACAAGTGGCCTCCCTGACTTCAGGATGGCCAGGCAGACTGACAGGGAGAAGGGCAGTGGACGGTCAGCATAGTGGGTATCCTCCTCCCCATGGCATTCAGTCCACAGCTGGCCCTGCAGTTCCCAGCTCCATCTGCACACAGGCCTCCCACAGGCAGCGTGGCAAGGGGGTATCTATTCCTGGAAGAGCCCCCAGGCCAGGACAGGAACAGGGCTGGGGCTGGAGGCCCAGGTATCTTGTATCAGACGAGACACTTCAGGTGTAAAGTGTAAACCCACTCCACCCTGTGTGCCCCTGACTACATGGCCCATAAAAGTACTGGCCCAAAGCCGTGTTTAATCCGTACACATGACCCACCTTAGCCATCTCCCTTTCTGGAAGCCATATCCCAGTGTTCACTCAGCACCTGCCTGGTGGCTGAGGACAGGAACCCAAGTCAGCACTAATGGAGCTGGCATCTTCCTGAAGACATCGAGATGGCCGAGAGATGACCCTGGAAGGTGGACTTCAGGGCACCCCTCCCCCAACATGCAGGCAGACTGCACTGAGCCTAAGGGCCTGATCCTGGGCTGGCCAGGGCTAAGCCTCTCCCTGCCATCCTGGGGTGGCCTGCACATGCATGACAGGGGCTGCCCACCAGCACCTCCCCTGTCAGTTCCCTGGGGGTCAGAGTAACCTGGGCCAGGCACTGGTCTCCTGGGATCAGCCTCCTTTCCTTCAAGAGCCTCAGGAGTCACCTCATCATGACCTAAGGACTTGAGAAATGAGCCTGTGATGCCCCCTGGGGGGCCAGAGAGCGGCTGCCCCGCTCATCCCAAGCATCTAACCCAAGCTTTGCTTTGTGCTTTCTTGGCAAAAGGGATCTCATCATTAAGACCTGTGACCCCAACAGCACCAGGCCAGGGAGGGGCAGATCTGAGCCCCCGGGCACAGAGGCTAAGAGGCAGCCTGGCTGGACCAGGATCATCCTCAGTACCTCTGATAGCTCCTCTTTTGCATGAGTAACTCTCAGTCCAACGGTAAGTCCCACAGGTGCCCAGGCAGAAGCCCCACCTGCACTCCACCCTCCCTCAGTGGTCTTCACTGATTGGGATGCTTCAAAGACCACAGAGAGGTAAGGAGGGAAGGAAAGCCACCACAGACTGGTAGGGAGGGGTCTTTCTTGGCAGGGGGCAGAGGGAAGGGAGCCAGCTCCCCACCTGTGCTCAGAGGACGGAATCCCAATATGTGAAGACAGCACTTGGCAGAGATGGTGCCTTCTCAGTCACCTCCTTGTTAGATGTCAGCCCAGGAGGTGGCAAGAACAGGTCCTGCAACCCTCAGCGTGCAAGCTGTAAGGTGTCCCAAAACAAGACTTCAGGGTTCCCTAGCCCAAGGAGACAAGGGCCAAAGCCTTCTGACTAGACTGGAGAGGTGGCTCCGGAGCCTGGAGGCTGGGGAGATGGTCTCCAGGGTGAGATGGTCTCTGGGTCTGGCAGCAACGGGATAGGAGGTGGCCCTGGACTGTCTCCCAAGGGCAGCTGAGTTGGTAAGGTGACTGGCGAGTGTGTACTTGTGCCCACCCTCTGGTCAGTGGGCTCTCCTTTTGGATTTTTTTCCTTGCAATAAAGCAGCCATTTCTGCTGTCCTAGAAGGAAGAGGATCACTGCGATGTGACAGCTATGACCCTAGGGTCGAGGGCCTGGGACTGCGCAGTAGAACCAAGGGGGCCTTGCTTAGGGTCACCTGGGCCTCACAGGCCAGCTAGGGGGAGATGGCCTGCTTGGGGTGGCAGACCGGCAGACCTGTCGCCTCCCTAGATTTTGGGAAAGGAATCCAAGCCACCCTTGGGGACTGCCAGGCCTGGGGCCAGCTCGCGGGGGCGGGGCTCAGCACTCGCCTGGGAAATGTCCCCTCTCCGACCCCGCTGTCACCCTGGCCCGAACACCGGCCCCCTCCCCTCCTCTCCAGGCGCCTGAGGCGCAGCGGCCTGGCGTGGCCTCCGCCTCCGCTG